AACGTAGCAACTTGATAACCCATTTTTACTGATTCTAGCTCAATAATTTCTGATCAGTTAGAAAATGAAGACTGCGCTGATTCATATGAATAACAAAACGTCTGCCCAACAAATAATGGCGCCACTTTTGCACCGCCAGAACTATAGCCATTAATTCCCTTTCATAGACTGACTTCAGCTTTGAATTTAGGGACAAACCTTTGCTGAGAAAAGCAATCGGTCGTGCTTCTTACATTAACATCGCACCCAAACCACTTCCGGAAGCATCGATTTCTATGATAAACTCTTGAGTGAAGTTAGGCATCCGGAGAACTGGAACACTAGTCATGATCTGTTTTAGTTCGTTAAAAGCCTTTTGAGCCGTTGCATTCCACACAAACGAGTCATTCTTTAACAAGGCAGTGAGTGGAAGGGCGATTTTTCCGTAATCGCGAACAAATCGGTGATAGTATCCTGTCAGCCCGAGGAACCCTCTCAGGGCCTTGATATCTCTCGGTGCTGGCCATTTGGTAATACTCTCAATCTTTGAAGGGTCAACGGACACCCCTTCAGCTGAAACCACATGTCCCAAATATTCCAATTGTGACTGCCCAAAGTGACACTGTTTTTTATTGACCACCAACTGATTGTCTAAGAGCACCTGCAAGGTAATGCGTAGATGCTTTGCGTGCTCGCCCATCTCCTTACTATATATTAGTATATCGTCAAAGAAAACCAACAAAAATTTCTTGAGATAAGGCCTGAAAATGTCATTCATGACTGCTTGGAAGGTAGCCGGTGCATTGGTGAGGCCGAAGGGCATTATCATAAACTCATAGTGCCCTTCGTGCGTCCGAAATGCCGTTTTAAGGGTGTCCTCTAGTTTAACTTGGATTTGGTGATAGCCCGATTTCAAATCAAGCTTAGAAAATACTGTCGCCCCATCTAACTCATCAAATAATTTGTCGATGGCTGGAATCGGAAACTTATCCGGAACCGTCACTTTGTTAACTGCCATATAATCAACACAGAATCTCCACCCCTCATCTTTTTTCTTCACCAACAAAACTGGACTTGAGAATGGACTGATGCTGGGCTTTATTATTCTTGAAGCCAGTATTTCCTTGACGATGCGCTCTATTTCGTTTTTCTGGTAGTAAGGATACCTATAAGGTCGGAGATTTGGTGGTTGAGTCCCTCGCACTAATTGAATGGCATGGTCTCTGGTTCTGGTGGGTGGTAATCCAAGAAGTGGATCAAAAACTCTACTAAATTTCTGCAATACTTCCAACAACCGATCATCCACATCCCCATTATTATCACTCTGTTTCTGAATTTGTCCAAACTCTATCAAACACCCATGTCCCTCACTCTGCAATGCCTTGATCATAGCCTTGAGTGAAACCATGGTTTTGCTGAGAGATGGGTCCCCTTACAAACACACAATCTGGTCTCCTAGTTTAAACCTCATGGTTTGCTTTCTCCAGTTCGTGGTCGTCTCACCCAAAGTTTCCAGCCATGCAATCCCCAAAACAACATCAGCACTACTCATATCAAATGGAAAGAAATTTTGGATAATCGTCACCCCTTGCAGCTCTAGACAAACATCTCTACATTCTCCCTCACATCTGACACTATACCCATCACCAACTCGGACCCCAAAGGACTGAGTTCCCACCACAGAGATATCCAAACACGCCACCACCTGTGAACTAATAAAATGGTGGGAAGCCCCACTATCAATCAACACAATCAGCTCCTTACCATAGATTCTGTCCTTGAGCTTCATGGTCTTTGGACCATGAATTCCCACGACGGAGCTAAGGGAAAGCTCAACCTGTTCCTGTTGTGGCTCCATTCCAGATTCGATGGACTCCCCTCCACCAATTGGGTCTGGATCATCCTCCTCTTCATCAATTAAGATAATCTGAAACTGCTTTTCCCCACATTTGTAACCAAATGAAAACTTACCATCACATCTGAAGCAAAGACCTTTCTCCTTTTTCTTCTGGATTTCCGCATCTGTCATTCGACTGAATGGAAACTCGCGTTGTTGGAAGTTTGATCTTTCGAAGGGTCGAAAGGATGAAGGTGGTTGGTCTCGACTAGAGTAGTTGGCCGACGAGCCATGGATTGATGATTCTGGCGATCGTCGAAGGAAATGGGAAATTCTGTGTTATTTGGGAATTTTGGGTTTGGGTAAGTTTCGGGTCGGGTCAAGTTTCTGGATCCATAGGAAGACCCAGGCCCATTAGCACGTGAATGTCTAATTGTCCCCACTTGGGCTTCTTCAATCACGTTATTTCTTTCTTCAATGCGTTGGGCCAGATCAATAATTTGAGTTAAGGAAGTGGGCTGGGCTAAACGGATTTTAGCCCTCACTTCCACTTTCAGCCCATTGATAAAGGTTGCTTGTAAAATCTCCTCATTCTCCCCGACCAGAAGAGCAGCAACGGCTTCAAACTGACGTCGAAACTCCATTACTGACCCAGTTTGCTTCATGGCCATTAACGACTCATATGGATTGAGTTCTTGGGACCCACTAAACCTTTGAAAGAGTGCCAGCTTAACCAGTTGATGGCTTCACCCTCCATACAGACAGTTGTCGCTGTTAATTTCCCTTCCTCAGTTATTCCATTGAGGTGAAAATAGCGCTCAACTCTAAAGATCCATCCATAAGGATCTACGCTGGAAAATATCGCATCTCCAATTTTCTCCCACTCATTTCACTGCGACTTTGGTTACTAGTGCCAGACCGACTTGCCCCATTTGGATTTTCTTCTTGGTGAGATTGGACATTTTTAGATGAACACATCTCGGTTCTACCAGCTTCTTCTTCATCCTTTCTTCACACTCAAGATTGTAATTCAACTAGACACTCTTGAATAGTACCCATCTCCACTCTCAACTTCGTAACCTCTCTTTCCACATTGTCCAGTCTAGAGTCCATTCTCGTCAATACCATAACCCAGAACACAAGGCTCTGATACCAATTGATGAGCACCCGACCTGCAAATCCACAACAAAACCAACAATCTATCCACAACACAGCTAATATGCACACTCAAATGAGCAAATACCTTGTTGATTTACCAATCACACAGCACATTACATCCAGAAAAGACTCACCCAGTAGCAATGTCCTATCGATACTCAGATAGCAATTACACAGAGAAAATAACAAAATATACTAAGAAAATGGTAAACATAAGGACTGACTTCAAGGATCAGTCACCTCCACATTTATTGACTTCGAGGGTCAGCAGCCTCCCTTCCAAAATGACTTTATATTTCTTAATCCTCTCTCTTTCGTTCCTGTCCTTTTTATTCTCTCCTAACACCTTTTGATTTCTAACAGAATTCTCTTCTCTCCTACTCCTACCAAGCCACCTGTCCCCTCATAACAACCTCTAACCTCCTGCCTAACCAATATTCCCCTGCTTCTCACCACTCTTCTTCCTACGGTAGACCATTCCCCTTGGTTGCTCATCACAGACAAACAGATGCTAGTTGTCATGTTCAAGTGCAATCATTATATTAACATGTATAAAGTAGAATATCAGCATAAACGTCCATAAAAATGCAATTTTATTCTTTTTTCCAGAAGAAAAAGAGCAGTTTGGAAGCTTTTATAATGACTGCAGTAAAAGCTTTGAATTAGAGAACAAAGGTTCTCTAAGATCCATTCGAAGAACACTGATGCATGGATATGTTATAACATATATTTTTTCTTCTCATTAAGATCTACGCTTACCGGATTAGAAGTAGACAACTGTCTGATTCTAAACTCATTAGGTTTATCCAAAACAAAGATTAAAAACTTCTTTAATGCACCAATTTACTGCATTCATATTTAAATTGGCACGTGTTTGTACGTAGAACAAGTAGTTCCAAAAATTTGAAAACTAATAATACTAATTTGTATAGCAACGAAGTCTGCTTGAATCACTAGTTTTTTTCTCTCGGAGACTGAAAGAAAGGGTTTAATGGAATTGTTGCATTCCCACTGAATTTTAGGTCATTTGGTGAGAGTGAAAAAGAATTGTTGAAGTTAGTGAGAAAGATTTTAGTTTGTCTTGGATTAGTGGAATTTTTATGTATTTTGGGGATTCAATTTCTGTTGAGATTAAGGATTTTTACTTTCTTTTTGATTCAGAGAAATTAGTAAACTGCTGTGAGATGATATTAGATCATTTGAACTTTGAATGTAATGAGTTTTGTTTAGTCGACTTTTTTGTATATCTCATCCACATTAATAATAACTTCTTCTTTCTTATCAAATAATGATAATAAATATCAATCTAAGGACTTATTTGTTTTCTCATCTAAACACTCAATAAGAGTGGATATTTGTTGGCTGTTCTGTTGTGCAATTCAAGACGTAGAAACAATAATATTTGTCTCAATGAAAAAGCCTAAAAATTTTGGCTCCTAACTGAATACAAAAAATATTATTAGTTTGTCTCTCCAAAATATCCCTATCCTAATTATTAAATTCCACTGATACCCCTTAACACCTTGATTTTTATTAACCTATTTTATGAATGTTTTCTTATATCACTTTCATCTTAGCAACTACACTCATTATAAGTAATCTTTACCCAAATATTATAGAATTTCTTTTAAAGTTTTTTTAATAACTTTTTATAGGTTCAGATGTTGGAAATCATTAATTTTTAGTAAATGTTAACATGCTATTGATTCAAGATAAAGCTGGTTTATTATAAAGATTTAATAGGTTTATATTAATGGTCTTGTTCACTGTATTGTTTTAAAAAAACTTATAATGGTGCTTCAGTTTTAAGCCATATATCTAATTAGAAAATTTATATATTTTTGTTACATTTTATCAAATTCATGATTAGTAAAAACAAATATAATCAGATATTTAAAAATCACAAACATATCATTCAATCTTATTCATTCAGACCAAATCAATTGTTAGAGTAATTTAATTGTAAAACAAAACAACAAACATGACCTAAGTGTTAAAATTGTATTTATAAGAGTAAAGCACTTACGATTAAGGAATTCTTTATTGCAGAAGCACAATTTATCAGCAAGGCAAGACTGAATCCAGATAACTTTGCTATGTAAGTGTAACTTGTCAAAAGGGGTATGGTCAAAACCTGTACATAGGATATTATGAAAATACGATCATATTTTGAACATAAATACGTTAAATGCGGAACATAAATAAATGCCAGAGTGTTCAAAATTTACCCCTGCCATGCGTGCTAACACTATCGGCCCAAAAAATTTCTCCAGAAACGGATATACAGTAAATTGAAAAATAAGGAGGCAGAGACCTATAAGTTCATAAATTGGTCAATTGTATCGAATGATACATGAATTTATTAAGAAGAAGAATAAACAAGAGAACATGTGTATAAAGACAAAAAAAATTGTATAGTAAGCTTCGCATTACTTCTTATAGTATGTCATCCTATAGCTAGGAAAAAGTCAACTTAAGTTTCCCTTTGTACAACACCACATCTTCCAGCAGATATAAAAATAAATAAATAAATTTACCCGAGATTGAAATATAGTACTTCAACATCCAATATCAATACAAGTTGCTTTTATAATATGAAGAATGAAATAACAAAAGATGTTTGTTTGAAGATGGAGGAGAATAACAATAATATGTTGAGCTTATGAAATTTTATAATATGATAATCAGAAACTAAATTAATAGTTACATCTTGTTAACTAAGAATCAATCATTAAGTTCTGCAGAACGTCGTCACTTTTGGACATAAAAATGTGTTTGTTTAACACAATAAAAATAATCCAGTCAATAAGTATCAAGTGTTCATAAACCTCCATCCCAATGACCTCTAAACGTTTATATTATCTAAATGTTTTGATCGAGTTAATGACAACTCCATTTTAAACCAAAGAACTTCATAACATGTTTTGAAGATAACATAACTAAATGAAACTTCTTTTAACAGGTGTCATGACTAGTACAGAGTATGCCTAGCAGGAAGTTGTGATATAACACTTCAAAATTCTTTTTTTCTGAAAAAGTCTGAAATGGTCCTTCCTAAAGATGCTTTGAAAATAGATTGGAATATTGAAAATAAAAAAAACATGTATAAGACAATTTAATATAAAAAAGGGGAATATCAGTATCTACTTTACCTGAAATTGCAAGTACTTCACCAACATCTTCAGTAGAATAGCTCAGACCCCCATACTTCCTAGGGCTGACAAACTAGAAATTTGAACATAGCATCTGACTGACAGGAAAAGGACGTGGAGGAGTGAAGCTACCGTGGTCGTGGTGGCACAGTTGGTGTCAGGGATTTGAGCACTGTTTGACACTAACGAAAAAAGATACAGCAACAAAAAATATGAAATGCAGTGGTTGAGTTTATCTTTTGAACTTAAGGATGCCATATTAATGAAGTCATCAACAAAAAGTATACTTAATTTTTTACTTTTATATTCCAAATAGTTGAGCAATGAACATTTCAAAACACAATGTTGATATTTTATGAAACAAGTATAATCGATATTAAAAGAATACATTTAGGATCATCCCACTCATAATCAGCACAAAGCATAAATGCAGATGCCAGTCTGTTTAGTGTTTCCAACTATTGATAGGTTAATTTAAATGTGACTTCAGGATATTCAAATACTAGGCATCCTACATGATTATTGGGTTTCTATTTAACATAAAGAATATCTTCAAATTAAGACTACAAATGCAACTAACTACTTTTTCAGTCACAAATATTGATAAACTAAGTAATCTGGGTAATGAAAACTTTAATCGTAAGCTACAAATTTTAAACCCATAGCGCAGATAGAGGAAAAATTACACTACTTTTTCAATGCAGCTGAAATAAGTTTTCCACACCAGCGAAATATTTCAGGTCTTTAATGAAAAATTGCTGCACTATTTTGTTTTGTCGTTGATAATGATGATTTGGCTGAGAAATTAAGCAGAGCCTCAGCCTAACTAATTCAATGGCACGGTTAGGGCCAACATTCCACTCTGTATTAGGTAAACCGACAGTCAAAGCTAGGTGGCTGGCACAGAACAGTGTGTAACGAGTTTAACCTAGCACTTATGTCGCAGTACACCTAAACCCAAGTTGAAGGGAACTCAGAAGTATTCAATAGTTCTTTTTCATTTCCTTGAAAAACTTTACGCAGCATCAGAATGTTGTCTTTTCTTTCCCTTTTTTATTATTATTATTATTATTTTTTAAATTTCAAACAGAATGTTGTTCAATGTATTTGTCCACAATGAGAAGAAGTAAGCCCATTACCATTTATAGGGGTGAGTACGGGTAACGGGTAGAACCGAAACCTGGGGATAGAACCGGATCCGGAACCGGAACCTACCCAGAATCGGTACTGTACGGGTAGGTTCCTATTCCAATTTTTTGGAATCGATATTGTGCGGTTTCGGTTCCGGTTCTTGTGTGTGGAGGAACCGGAACTGGAACCTGTGAAAAGGGTACCATGTTTGGAACCTGTAGAGGGTACCTGGTTTGAAACCGATTTTTGGAACCTGCTTGGAACCTGTTTTGGAACCTGTTTTGGAACTTGGACTACAATGAAATATTTGTGAAATGTGAATAATGGAGGGTTTCTATTATTTTACATATAAAAAATTTTAAAATAGAAAAAGTTAAATTTTTAGAATAACCTAATTAAATAAATATACGAATATAATTATACTTATTACATATAAATTACACCATATTAAAAGCTTTAATATATTATACTATATTTACTATTAAAGTTTTGATTATTAAGTGAATAATTGGAATATAATCCAATTAAAAGTGTTTTACATTTTTAATGTTATTAAAAGATTATTTTTGAATAAATAGTATATTTGATTGAGTAATAATATTTAGTTATTTACTTCAATTATCAAGTTCAAGTATATCATATAAATTAGTAATTATAATTATATATGATAAATTGATACATTAATAAATTTAATTACTAGTAAATATCATATTAATCAATTATAGCATTACATTATAGTTAATGATTACTTAATTAATTATAATTTTATAACATTACTTAATTGATTAAGATAATAATATAGCATTACATTAATTGATACCACTTGATTAATTGACTTATAAGTTATAACTTTAGATATTACTTAATTAAATAATTAGAAATTTAAATTATAGCATTACATTTATATTTATAGTAAACTTACAATATAACATATTATAAACATTAGTAAACTAATTAATGATTAAAAATTTAATAATATAATTTACGTATAAAATTAAATATGATTTTAAAGTTAATTCACTATAACATTACATTATAGTTATATTAATAATATATACATAAATTAAAGATACTAATGATAGACATTTATATATTAAAAATATACTACAATTAACATAAAATGCATAATACTTAAAACAAAATTAGAAATTAAAATACAACATTACATTATAAATTTAGTACGATTATGTAATTAATTGTAACATACATATAATAAATGATTACTTAATTATATTATATATATATATTATAAACAAATTAATTATAATATTATATTAAAGACTTATAGTATGATTACTTAATTCATTGTAATATTTCACTATTTCATTAATGTATGATTAGTTGATTACATAATTAATTATAAAACATTATAAACAAATGATTACTTAATTAAATGATTAGAAATTTAATTAATAAATATTACATTATGTTAAAAATTACTTAATTAAATATAACATATTATATTATATTATGATCACTTAATTTTATGTATTACATAGTAAATGATACTTATTAGTAGAATTTAAACATCATATTATAACATTAGTATTTACTGCATTATATTTATTACATTACTAATTAAATAATTAAAATTTTAATTATTATAATATACATTAAATATCTATAATCTGATTACTTAGTTCACTATAACATTACATTATAGTATGATCACATAATTAATTATAACATTACTATAAATGATACTTAACTGATGAGTTATGATATTATGTTTTAAACATTGTATTACTAATTTACTATATAAACATTAGCACAATAATAATAAATTATTAGAATATTAATTAATCATAATATTACCCTATAAACATTTCATTAAAACACTAATTAAACATTACATTATAGTTAAATAATTACTCAATTAAATTATAACATTATATATTACATATATTATAATCACTTACTTAATTATAGCATACATAGTTAAAGATTACTAATTAGTTATGAATTAAACATTATATTATAAAATAGTAATTACATATTATTACATTACTAATTTAAACGATTAAAATTTAATTAATTCTTAAATCTTATATATTTATAATATGATTACTTAATCATTATAACATTTCATATAAACATTAGTATATTAATTAAATGATTTGAAATTTAATTAATTATAATATTAAATTATAGATTTATAGTATAATTACTTAATTCATTATAACAACATTATACTATTATTGTATGATCATATAATATATAACATTACATAATTAAATGATTACTAATTGTTATGACATTAATTATAAACATTGTAATTTACTAATTTACACAATACTAATAAATGATTAGAATTTTATTAATTATAACATTACATTATAAATTTATAGTATGATTATTTAATTAATTATAACATTTATTATAAACAATATACATTACTTAATTAATGATTAACAATTAATTAATATAATATCATTAAATTAAATAGTAATCACTTAATTATATAACATTACTAATTTATAATATAAATTTACTAATTATATTTAGTATATATAACTACCCAATGGCCAATTATACATTATTGTGATGATAATTGTTTGTGTTTTGGTTTTGATTGACGATTGTATGTGAATGTGATGAATTGATTGAATTCAAGTGTTGTTTAGAGATTACAGGTATGAGTTACATTGGACACAAAGAATGAATAATCAAAATTTGTTAAGGGTGTATTGTAAACTTTTAAGGTATTTTTGTCATTTTTAAACTAATAGGGGTAATATTTTTTACAGGGTACCCCGGAAAGGAACCAGAACCTGCATTTTAGGTTCCGGTTCCTTGAATTGAAGAACCTGCACTATGCGGTTCTGGTTGGTTCTTTTTTGGGAACCTGCACTGTGCAGTTCCGGTTTCGGTCTCCCCAAAAAATGGAGGGTACCGGAACCGCTCACCCCTAACATTTGTTTTCTACTAGCAACCAAATATGTAGCGTTAATGAAACTAAAGGAGCCTGTGTCTCTAAACAAGGAAAAATTATAGAATCCGTTATTTCCGAAAACTGAACAAGTAGAAAACTGCAGCGCTAAAGAAACAGAACTAGAAATTTCAACTCTGAAGACTAGTAGTCAAGGAAAAATGAAGAAAACATATCGACAAAAAATATAGAATCCGTTATTTTCGAAAATTGACGCAAGAAGAACACAGCAGCACATAAAGAAACAGAAAACTAAAAATTTCAACTCTGAAGACATAAGGAAGAAAAACATATCGACAAAGAGAGCGGGCTCAGTAGAAGCACAAGCCAAACTATATACCAAAAATATATCATGTAGAAATATACCTCTGAGTAAGCCATATCATGCAGTGCAACAATAGAGTAAACAATAATAGAAGACATTAAGGGCCAATTCTTATTGAGGCTTTCCTTAGAAGTTTTCTTGCTTCCTTCTTGTCCTTTAAAATCCGCATCAGACCCACAGGATGCAGATTCCATTTGATCATTTGAGAAATCACATGCTACATTGTCTTCCTTATGGATGTGCAACGTCTCCTGTATTAACCAGATGTATTTTAGGAAACCTCATTGCAGTAAATAGAAAGTTAATTCAGTAATAACAAGACAAGCATGAGTTCTTGTAGCTTAAATACTGTTACCAGACACTCATCTATTAGCTTAAGGTTTTAAGTATGATAATTTTAGCATATCGAATCCGTTTGACCAAGCGAATTTGAATAGGAATCCCCCTTTTCTATTAGTTAAGCTACAAGAATTTATGTTTATGGTTATAGTTGTATCCTTGATCACATTGTATTTGATTGACATGCACTAGCACTTGAGGTCCCTTACCTGTTAACTTGAGCTTTTGTGATAAGTGGTTCTTTAGCATAAGTGATATAACCATTCACGTTGATCATTTAATATTAGTTACAAGTGTATTCACATGAATATCTGTGGACTAGACATTAAACAAGGGAGATGACTAAAATCTTTTATGGATTTCTTTTCCTTATAACCTCTATAGACCTAGGGGATATTCATCAATTTCAATTAAAAAAACAAAAAGGAAAATTGAGCATGTATAGATGGAGAGCAAACATACTGGCAAATGTTGCAATACATGCTAGGAAACAAATTGTAAAACGGCAATAAATGAAAATCAGTTTGTAGAGTCATATAGAGACTTGTTCATAACAAAGAAAACCGCATACAATTAGCATCTCAATCGGAAAGAAAATGATCAACAACCACGTACGAAACCAAAACAAAGTTAAGATGATAGACAAAGGTCAACAACAATACTTCAGCTCCAACATGCCGCTTCCCAAGTAAGGCATGTGGATGAAACAAAAACTACAAACAAATTCACAACTTAATGTTATCAAATTAAACAACAGGGAATTCAAATACAAAACCTCTGTGTCTTCATAACTTTAATACTAAGTTAAACAACTAGTGAACCCAAGAACTTAAACTGATTAGGACAAACAATAATATGTAAGCTCTAAAAACGAACATTTTCAAACATATGGCATCCCTTGAGGTTCACTAAAGTATAGCTGTCAAATTTATCAAAATCCTCCATTGTGAATATGGAAATTGTTACAAATGAAGTTTCAATTAATTTTAATTGATGCCTCTCCAACACAATTTTCAAACCAAGAAAGCCCATCTGTTTTATAACTACAAAAGAAGAGGTCCATATTTTTTTTTCCCAAAAAATTTATTCACTTTTGATGAAGGCAAAGCATTCTTGGTGTGGCTAAGTCATATAACCTGGTACGACAGACTATAAAAGGTAAAATGACAACTGGATTACATAAGTATGTACAAATAACAAATCTACCTGAAAATAATTAATTAAAATAAGTGAACCTCCACAGCAATTCGACTGAAAATGTGAATGACATTAACCACTTGGATGATCACCATATAGATTTCTCGCCTTATTTTTGATATGATAGGTCATAAGTATTATTCTCCGCTCTCCTTACACATGCACACACATGCAGAGGCCAGAGAGCAGATTTCAACTTATTAAATGACATATACAAGTTGGAAACTAAACCGACTTTGTCTACATATTTGAATTTCTGTAATACTAATTAAGAGAGCCTTCTAGCTAGTGTTAATGACCTTGAGTTTTTTAGAAACCATCGTTTCTGACCTGAGTTCTTGAGCATGTAATATTTCTATTTTCTATGTGAAATCCCTCAAAATATGAAAGTATCCAGAAATAACAGAAAAGTAAAGAGAAAAGAGGTTGCAAAGGAGTTATATTAAGTTCAAATTGAAATGTGTTGAAAATAGCCACCTACACAAGCTTTACTTCTCTTGAAGGCCTTTCAATCATTACTATCCTCTGTCTCACCAAAGCCTCACAAAATATGATGGCAAAGAAAATTGAAATGTCTATAAGATCAATTTTTAACCTAAAGTAAGTCACAGTTAGTCAATTTCATTATGATAGGAAACTGTCCTGATATGTTACAAAAGAATTACATGAAAATGCATCTTACTTAGGACAAATAGTAGCCCAAATCAATAATTTCATATAATATAATGATTGAGATTAGACAGTAGCAATAATGTTATTTTGAAGTCATAAATTATGTACCGGAAGCCAGCAAGAAGCCATAGATACTCCCAAAGCAATAAGTGACATAACAAAGCAGGGCAAGAAGTATGGAAACCTGCATAAATCTCATGTTTCGGAATACCATCATACTTTTAACATCTTACAGAAAGAAAATGAAAAATAATAAAAAGATAAGAGTTAAAGTTCACTTACTTCCCAAATAAAGATTCTTTAGAGAATATGCTTGGATACTTATCTGCTGGCTGAATAATGAAAATTATCCCAAAAGATAAGTACCATGCTTTGCGAACAGAAAACAAAATGAAAAGGACATGGGCACATGGACTAGGTGGGGTATGGGGATGTTTAACAATAGATAGATTAAAATGAGATTGGAGAAGATACTTGGACAACTAGGGAAAAATCCTGAATGATGGTCATTTCATAAGGATTTCAAATTACTTGAAAATGGAATATTTTTCAATAATAAAGGAGAAAGGAAATATTATCTACAAGATGTATTTACTGGCACAAGAAGCCAAAAATATAAGTACCTGAGCCAAAAAACCACCCACTGCTGGGCCCATGATGAGTCCTATGCCCCATGCTGTACTCACCTGAAGTTAGATTTCAGTTGTCAGCTCCGGCACCATAGTAAAATACTTTTATTCATAGAGAAATAAGCTTACTGCTGACAATCCTAAAGCTTGGTGTTCTTCACGCATAACTTCAGTTGCATATGCCTGGTAATGATAGAAGTTACGCACCGGCACTGGAATTGAGTGGAACACGAGTAAACAAAGAATCTCATAGAATAGAAACTTTCCATACCATTGTCGTTCCAAGTAAACCATTCATACTCCCAAGAAGAAACCTTGTGATGACAGCCATCCAAAAGTTTATACTAAGCCCAAAGAGAGTGCTCAAAACAACCCTATGACAAATTTTAACCAGATAATTATGAAAATTTTGTACATAAGATGTCTGAAATAAAAAAAATTCCAGAATTAATTGCTAATTATAACTATCAAAATTTGACAGGAAACCAGCAGTTACTAACACTGAGATGGTCCCAGATAGTATTATGGGTTTTCGACCATAGTGGTCAGCCACCACTCCCCATAAGACAGATGTTAAAGCTCTGCCAATCATGAGTGAAGACCCTTCAAGGTATTAAGAGGTTTGTTTGGATTAATTTTCAGAAGCTGAAATCTGATGAATAAGCATATCTATATTAGAATACACCATCATTAAAGAGGAAATATAGAAGATACACTCACCCACAAAGCCAGCATAGTAGCCAATATCTTCCTCCCTTTTTGCAATATGAAAATCCCTAATCTGAAATTAAATAGAAAATTTATAAAATGTTTTGGAAAGCAATGCAAGATTCAACAGAATGACAGGTAGGCTTTGTTTCATATTTTTCCCAAGCAATGGAGGCTAAGCAGAAAAATGAGCAACCAAGATAGTCCAACCTTAAACTCGTAAAAGATGTATATAAACAAATGCAAGAATCAAATCTGACCACCATATTCTATAACCATCCTGGAATGTATCAGCTTTAATTAGTTGCAGAAAACTTGTTGTCTACTTCTCAGTAATATTTTCTCCAAACCAAGGAAGTCATCAATCTTGTCACTGGTAAATTTTACTTCTTGGATAGTTATTCACTCATCTTGTTCTGCTATCAATCATAGCGCATTGATTAGTTAGATGCTTCTGTATTTATACAAAAATCATTCTATTGATTTTTTCAAATCTTCATTGCAGACTCTTTGTATGTCACTGAACCAATTTCTACGTCTGTCTATAACTCATTTTAATAATTTAATCATCTGCATGCAGAGTAACATTTCTACTCACCATGAAATAAAGGAAGGGAAAGAGTGATGATACTGACAGTGCTGAAAAATTGAAATGAGAAGGATATCAATATTATGGATAATGTACAAGATAAATCAAATAATTAAGAAATGCTTAACAGCAGCTAAGACAAGTGCTGCAGGAAATGACAAACCACTGCAAGAGGGCATATATATGAATTTCAACCATAAAGCAAAAAGGTGCATGCTACCTTAAATCAACAACAAAACTTGTTTACAGTAATAATGAAGTTCACCACAACCACAAAAAGCAAAAGTTATTTATAACAGATTGAAAGGCAGACTGGACATCCAAGAAGGAGATCACAATTTATTCATTTATTGATGGGAAGACATTAAGTTGAAAATAATTCACAGATGTAAGCTGGGGGTTTAAATCTTCTAATAAAATATTTCCAGTGTTTCTAACTAGATAGAAATACTGATAGACCACGACTTTGCATGGATGAGGAAGACGTTGCATGCACGTAGAAGAAGTTGTGATCAATTAGAGAGTTTCAAGCTGCACATTTATCTTTCTGCTGCATGTTATTTTCGTTATGCTCTGTTTTTAAGTGTATTTGCATGCTCTGTTTTACGTGTGTTTGAGTCCAGTTGTTAGCTTCATGATAGGTCCCAAACGCAGCAAGTATAAATGCTAAGATAACTTGTGTTCTCTTCGGGTGAGAACTTACTACAAATTAGTTTCCTCTTCGGGTGAGAAAGTACCACAACAACTCAAATAATGTTTTGCTTGATAATTCATTACCAACTCGTGGCTGCTTAAATAGCAAAACCACTTAACAACCCACGTACAAGCAAACCAAAACAAAAGGAAAACTAGAAGCTAACAATTGGACTCAAACACAAGTAAAACAGAGCATGCAAATACACTTAAAAATAGAGCATAACGAAAATAACATGCAGCAGAAAGATAAACTTCAGTTAGCTTTTTTTGCTGAACCCCAGGGGAGCATGCCAACTTTTTCCCTTAAGTAGTTTAACAACCGAATGGGTGCGAAATTGTCAAACTATAATTAAAATGAGAACCACAAAAACTCCAGTTTAATTCAACCTCTTCATTATACTATTTGCAAGTACAGTGCTCCAATGGACAGAATTTCTCACTTTTGTTACAAACAAAAAGAAATGCCAACAGAACCATAGTGCAAGAAAATGTAATGATAAAATCACCTTAATCTGATCATTTTTTCTATCTTCCAGTATATAATAAAATAATTTTCCCTTTCCCATAGACACTAAAAAATTCTGTTATCTGTAATGTTTTTAATAATGTTAACCGAAACTATTTGCATGCACCTCCATTTGCGTGTATGCAGAACCCTTCAAACCTAAAGAGGAACAACTAACAATAATGAAACCAATACCATTCTTCAAATTTGGCAACCTGCCTTAAACTATATCATCCCAACTATGCAATTAGTGGAAACAAAGAGAAATTTAAGATGCTTGTAAGTATAACCTGTGATGAGATATGACAACTTACAATTACAAACCGCAACAAACCACAAAGAAATGATTTCCCGAATGGGTAAACCTTGTTTTAGTTCTTTGAGCTTATCAACCTTACAGCCAGAGCAGTTCTCATAATATTTCTTCTTCTTCAACAGTGTCTCTCTGCACTTCTCCTCCGACATACTTTTATCAAGTCAGCACAAGACACTGCCTCAGATGTATGAAGTTGTAAAACAAAATCTGAAAAAGCACTCTGCACTTAGTTACATAATCAGCTCAAAAACTAATCATCTAATAGAAATTAATAATACATATGTAAAGGTACAACAGAATCTTAGATAGCACTCTCCACTTAGTTATATAATGGGCTTGAAACGTAATCATCATAAAGAATATATATGTCCATTAAATGGTAAAGCATCTCTTGCACAACTGCACTAGACATTAAATGAATTGATTAGGAGTTAAAAAGTTGCTTAGAAAAGAATATTCAAGTCTTGAAACAAAGATGCTTTTGCTTTGTTTCCGTGTTAAAAGAAAATAATATATAGCATCCACATATTTTACAAGATTTTCACTTAAAACATGTGGATGCAATATAATATCATGTCATACCATGCCAGCAAGAGCAACGCATAAAACATGCTTGTCACCATCAATTCATGATGTCATCTAATTAGCTTTTAAAACCAATATCACAAATTTTGTATCTTAAGTTCTATGGTACTGTCTTAGAATTACCACGGAATTATAAAATGATGAGACATTAAATAAAAAGTCAGGATTCTAACTTTATAAGTACTGATAAGTTGATGGTAAATTAGGGCACGATTTTGGTTGGGCATTGATTCGAATGGGTTGTGAGCAACAATTTACAAGAAGACAAATGTACCTTCAGTGGCCATGTCAGATTTCCGTAATTCCCATGTGTTGGTACAAAAGCTTCCGTCAATCAGAGAAAAATAAGCGTGCTTATAAGCTAATTTTAGCTTATAAGCATTTGAAATTTTAAGCAGTTACATGTTTGATTAAAGTACTTATAAGTAACTGATAAATAGTTGACGTGTTTGGTAAAATGTCGCTTATAAGTATATTTTATTATAAAATGACTAAAAAGGGTACTACATTAAACAATGGTGTACTATGGAATTTTAAAATTAAACAAGGATAATGTGGTAATATACTTGATCAAATTAGTTTATAAGCAAAAAAAAAAAAAAGTACCTCACCCCCCAATTTTTTTTTTTTTTTTGGTTTATAAGCTCAACTTATAAGCTCAAAAAAATTATAAATAAATAGGTCAGCTTAATTTTAAAGCTTATAAGCTAGTTTGACCAGCTTATAAGCTTAGACAAACACCCCATCGAATTCGTTCGTCTTGAAATTGAAAATTTGAAAGACATAGAAAGCCTCTTGAAATTTACATTAATAAATGGGATAGGAGAAGCCTAGATTTGGGAAATTTTTAAATTTAGGGTTTGTTTAAAACTTCAGGGAAGATGGGAGAAAAATAGCCGTTGTTAATGAAGAAATTTTGAAAATAATTTAATTAGAAAGGACTTCAACATTTTTTTCTATATATCTCACATTAATATATCTTATATGTAATAATAAAAAATAAATACTCACAAATAAAATATATAAAATATATAAAATTAAAAAATAAATTAAATCTAAAATTGGTTTTCTAAAGCACATAATTTTAAGACTAATATCATTCACTAAATTAAATGGATCAAATAAAGTAGATTAATTTGTCCAATTAAAACGCACATGCATATTTCATCCGAAATGTATCATGAAATTAATACAAATTAACTTTGTCAAAACATTTGGTCCCTTCCATTAAAATGACAACCATGCTCCACGAATGACAAAAGGTTGTGTTTTAAAATCCGGCCCAACCCGGCCTGTTGAACCAGTTCAATCGAGAACTGAGGCCTTCACTAGGCGGGTTTTCAATTTTGACTATCCGTGGCAAACCCTAGAAATTAGGACGATGATCAGTGAACAACTGATGGCTGGGATGTTGGGGGGTTTTAAAGAGGAAGGGCTAGTGAGTCGAAAGGTGGCAATCGAGGTGATTTCCAGTGAGTGAAACAACCAGAAATCGCAAAAATCAATTGGCGAAAACAGTGAGCTTTTGCTGACTTGCCAATGATTGGCGCGATGAATGGGGGTAGGGTGAGATGGGTTTTGGTCAAGAGGCTTAGGGAAGAGTTTTCATGGTGATGAGATGTGTTGTCAACGCCAGATATAGGCCCTATTTGGCATAGGTTGTCTACGCCAACTGTGTAATTTAGGGTGTTTTTGTAGGATTTCAAACCTGTAGGGACTTATGGAACTTTTACGAGTGTTTTTGCTGGATTTCAAACCTTTGGACATGCTGATGTCATCGGTTTGACGCGTCAGTTGAACCCGTTCAATCGATCAACCTAGGACATACAACTTTGTTAGGTTTCATCACAGGTTGGGTTTTAAAACAATGGAAAGAAGCCATCTAAGTAGAACAGGTCACATATAATATTTCATTATTAAAGGCAAAAGCTATGAATTTTTCCATCACCAACGAAATATAAAGCACTTAATTTTGTGGCATTTGTTGCATAGCCTAAAGCTCACGACCAAGAGGGTGATTGACACTTTGTAGATGCAAAAAAAAAAAAAATCTACCTTTATAGAAATAGGGTCTGATCCCTTGAGCTTGAGGCCATCAGCAATCTGCTGCACCTGCACACACGAGGAAACAAGTGTGAAGCAAACAGAAAACACCGGGGTGGTGTTTGCCGTAGGCACTCTGATGCTCAAGTTAGCAAGGATGAATGAGGATAATTTAGTGAGGGTTAGGGAAAGAGAAGGTTACCAGGAGTGAGAACTACTGGGTTCGAAGGTGTAATGTATGTGTCTCTTGTGAGAGGGTTGGCTTCTGTTTAAATAACAACTATAGGATCTTCGAGTCTTAGTAGGACTATGAGTCCTTGGAGGTTGAGAGGTTCAGTGAATAGGAAGGCTTTTACTTCCCTTGCCTTAGTAGGAGAGGGAGTCCTAGTTGGCTTAAGATACGGATCTTAGACGAGTTAGGATAGTAATGGATCCTTTTAGTAGAATCCGAATGGTACCGAGACAAGGAATAGACGATCTTGGGGTCTAAATAAACCCTAGGTCCAATAGGTGATCTTGGATCAAAAGGCCTGGGGCCAGACAAGCTGATGATGAGGCCTAAATGACTTGGGGCCTTTACTGATTGGCTTCAAACAGTGAGCAATCGGGTAGATGTGGCGAGCGAACCTAATATACAAACTCTGTTACGAACCCAATCGAAATTGGGCCATGGCTCCGGGCTTTGTTGAAGGTGTCTTCGTCTTTGAGCCTTTTGGGCCGAGGATATTTTTTGGCCCTAATAGTTTGCCCCCCACTCTCTAAGTTAAGGAGCGCTTAGCTTAGAGAGTATGGGTTGTGTGAAGGGGTGCATAGTCGTCCTTCATGATTGATTGGTTGAATATGTGAATGTGCTGCTTCTCTGTTTGCGGGAACGAATAGTGTAGCTTTTATTGTAGGTGATGCATTCGGTACATCAGGCCGAGTGGGTGGAGGTGAAACACAATCATGCCTTCACTCGACGTATTTGATCGAGTGAGGGAGTGGAGTTGACCTTGATGGCCTGGTCCGGCGCATCGGATTGAGGGAAAGGATGAAAGAATCTGTTAGAGGTGTTCTCACTTGGTATGTCGAACCGAGTGGGAAGATATGCAAGACGTCCCATGAAAGTGTCCTAACTCGATGTATCAAGCCGAGTGAGAGGGTGTACAAGCTATCCCATGAAGGTGTCCTCACTTGGTGTATCGAGCCGAGTAAGAGTATGTGTGAGCTGTCCCATGAAGGTGTCAGTACTCAGCGTATTGCACTGAGTGGAATACGTTAGGGTCATTCTGGTGGTGGTGCCTTAGGTTGATTGGTTGAGTCCGAATGAGTAGGTGTATGCGCACTCCCAAACAAGTGGCTAGTTCACTCGGTCGAGATGACCGAGAGGGTAGAGGTTATGTTTTGCTTTAGTGGCGTTTGTCACGAGGCCGAAGAGCTGAGGTTAAATGGTTAGTACGTCCGATGCTAACTCCATTCGGTCAGGCAAACCAAACGAGTGGTTAGCACCTCCATGGTGTATGCATGACGTGGTGGCCACGGACACTGAGTAGGTAACGTGAAGCTGAATAATCCATCTCTCAACACATGTATGACCGAGATGTCTCTTCTGAATTTGGGCGGGAAAATGAAATCACATTGTTCGATGACCAATCGGAGGTTGCCACGTGTAAGCTTTGATAGCTTTCATCGATAAATGTGCGGAAGCAACTGTTCCTTTCATTTTATTTCCCATTTCTCTCTTCTGTTTTCGTGTTCTCTCTCTGTTTCAGTTTTTCTCCGCAACAGTGAAAGATTTTAGGAACTTTTGCCATTTTTACGGTAAATACTTGCTTCCTTATACTGTTTTTCATTTCTTTATGTCCTTTCCTTGTGTTTGCAGTACTTTTGAAGGAATTTTGGGTGAGGTTTGTTAGATTTTTTAGGGGAGTTTGAGAAGGAGGCGTTATGTTTGTTTGAGTTGAATGAGGTAGGCAAACTGAATGATTTTGATTCTTGGGTTTGGCGTTTGGGAGATTTTGGGTGTTTAGGAAATATTTGGTGTGGTTAGCGTGTGGAGATTCTGGGTTTTTAGTGTTTTCTGGATTTTTTTGTGTTTTCTAAGTTTAAAGAGGTTAGAAGATAGAATCGATTTATGTAGGCTTCTCGTTCGACTTGTCTCGGTCTGCTTGACCGAGTCGAGTGAGGTGTTTTGAGTGAAGAGGTTTGGTTTTGGTAAAGGCTAAGTCACGTAGGTCGCTCAGTCTCCCAGGTCGAGTGGAGAAGGGTTTGAATAGGGGGTCTCGAGGCAGCAGGTATTTGGTAATCCAGATCGAGTCGAAAGTTTCTTAGAAGCAAAGAGTTAGCCTGATTTCGGAGCAAGTTAGTTGGTCACTCTGGGCGAGTGGGGCTTCTGGAACTAAGGATTTGACTTGGTATTAAAAACCAATCGGAGTCAGACTCAAGCGACTTGAGTGGGGCAGAGATGGAAGTTGGTAATGAATACGAGAATGCCCCAACGATGGTAGTGATCGCAAAGGGTGGAAACGTCCCGGTCGGCATA